CAGCAGTCAAGGTGTTACCGATCTCAGATTTGGCTGCTCGCCACTCAAAAAACAATACTCAAGAGGCAGGTGTTGGTAGGAAAGGAAAGTTTGCTTTATTCAGGAGGATGGCAGCCTGGGGAGAAGGCAGACTCATGTTCCAGAACCAACTCGCAACTGCCCATCAGGGGCCAAGAGCCTTTAAAGGGGAGTTTCAGCAGGGCACAGGCAGAGGAGGGGCTCCTGCAGAACAGCACAGCCAGCTCCAACAAGAATCTTGAAATTATTGGTCACGTGTCATCTTGATTGTCTTAAGTACAGTTCATCTTCAGTTCTGGGGTCGGGTTGTTCCCGTTTCCTTGAGGCCAGGGCTCGGAATTGTGCAAGATGGAGCAGCTTATGTCATGGCTACAGTCTGGTCACCGTGAAGTTAACTTCTTCCACCCGGTGGGGGTTTCAGAGTCTGTAAAACAGCTCAAAGGATATGACTCAGAATATTATCTCCAGCCCTTGAAGAGGAACTAAAGGCCCTTGACTTTTATTTAATGGTTAAATTATTATTATTTTGTCTTGCTTGACTGTTTCCCTTTCTTTCTACATCTTCTCATTTCTCTGATCAAATTTATAAATTGATCGAATTTATATGTTTTTCTATAAAGAAGAGGTAGACGGAGAACATGGAGTGTCTGTCCTGGGAAGGCCCCATAGGGTCGGGCTCAGTTACAAGGGACACTGAAGAATGTTCTGGAATGTGCAGGGCAGCCTCCACAACAAAGAATTATCTGGTCTCAAATGTCAGTAGTGCCAAGGCTGAGATCAAAGAAGTAATTGTCCATCTCAGATAAATTTAAAATGTCAAAAAGTACTATTAAAATGATCTAAGATTAAATTAAATTTACGTGGCCCCTGTCTCAAATGGCAGTTATCTTAATCATTCTCTGCCTTTAGTCGAAAACAAAATAGCCACTCATACTGAAGGACAGATTCCTGATTAAGGGAACACATGCCATCACTTTTTGAAGATGACGACTTTGAGGGTTTCTCTAAAGGCCATGAGAGCATTTCATTCCATTACTGGCTTCAAGTCCATTCGGAGGTGTTACGGTGCCCCGGCAACAGCAGGACGGACTCCCGCCCAAAATTTGGTCCTGATGTCAAGACTGAGGACACTCCCCACGCCCCAGGAGGGTGTGGATGGAGAGGCGGTTGAGTCTGCTCTGGGAGTGAGCAGGGTGGCTCCCTCGCAGGACTGCACGTGGCAGAGAGCACAGGACAGGACGGCTCGGCATTTTGCAGTGGTTACGTGCTGCACCGGGGTCCGCTTCTTCTGTGAGGACAGGGACTCGCGTGGGTTGAACCTCCTCTCCTACTGGTGCCAAAGGAGGAGGCATCTGAGCTCTGCTGTCCGCTTGCTCAGATGTGGACAGAGGGGAGAGACAGAGGGTGAGGCTTAAAAGCTGTCCGAAACCAAACATCAAACAGTGCCGTCATGTAGTCAGGTGGTGCAGACGTCATGGCCGGGGCAGGTTCAAAGTCACTGGTCTAACTGCCTCTGTCGGCGTGATCTGGGACTGGCCTTGAAGCCTCTTCATGGCACATGACTATGGACTCGTGTGGTCACATTTGGAGTGTCCCCTGTGGCAGACAAGAGGTGGTGTGAGGAAGGGGGACCAGCACACACATCAGGGTCGTTGGAGGGGTGCCTCCCGTGCCACTCCCCTGTTCACCCTCTGTGTCTCCTGGAACAAGCTGATTGTGCTTCAGGCCTCTTCTCTAATGTTTAAAACGAGATGCGGATCCGTCCACTGTAGTCTCTGTAGGAACCGGATGGCTTAACGTCCGCACACTGCTAAGTGGTGATATATTCATTTGTTCATGTTTTTATTTGATCAGGAACACAGTTAAGACACTTAATGCTACTATTTTATCTATGTATATATGTTTATGTCTGTGTGTGTATGTGGAGTCATTTTTAAATTCTGCTGTGGGTGCCCCCAGGGTTGCCTGTATCACCTCTCACTGCTTGGAGATTCTCCCAACAGCTGGTCCTTAGAGCTGAGGCTCGGATGGAAGTCGTCCCTCTGCTCCAGACACTGGCAGGCCCTCATGAGAACGTTTCCCCAGTCCCTGGGAGGCTAGGATGGCGGACGTGGACGGAAAGGGCGCTGTAGGTCACAGCCTGATATCCAGTTGAGGGAATGGGATCAGAGTTCGTGAAAGTTAGCCAAAGGAACAGGGCAATGCGAAAGGCCTAAATAAATACAGAGGGAGCCTGGAGGCTCCCTTCCTCTCTCCTGCAGGCACACAGGGAGCGCACACACGTGTTCATAGGCACAGGCGCGCGCACACATAACCCCCCCCCCAGCGTGTATCCTCCGACAGGCATTTTGCATGGACCTATCCTCTTCTCTCATCCTAGCCCAAGCCCAAGCCATTGGTAACGGCTCTCCCATTGTGACGGATGGCTGTCTGTCGTGTTCTCGTATATAGGCATTGATTTCTGTAATTACCTGTTGTCCAAATACTAATCTTGCAGGCTCCAGACTTTCTAAATTTACTCAGCCTTCTCGTCTTTCTCTTGCGTTTTATTGAATTGATTTAGCCCTTCAGTCCACAATTCATTATTGGTATTGACTTTGCCCGCACAATGGATAGGCCATTGAGCAAAAGGCAGAATTAAATCTTCTATATGTGGAGAGTCAGAAATCACGCCTTTCTCATTCCTTATTACAGTGCCTTGTACAGTTTTCATATAATGAAGCCAAGAAATTCAGTTTTGTTCAAAATGATGCCAGACCTTATAAGTACAGAGTTGAGAAGGCGCTTCCATAAGTCAGCAGACGGAAGCCAGCTCCCTAACTTTTGCTCCTGGTCTAGTGAACTTGGATTTGAGCTGGTTCCCTGGTTCCCTCCAAGTAGGGAGGTGGAGCTGAGGGGAGAGGGATGGACGTGGCCAGTTCAGCAACCGCCAGGGACTGAGAAGCCTTCAGTCCCCTGGGGGCCCTGACCCAGGCCAGGACATTCAGTTATGAATGCTTTGAGGACCAGCAAGTGTCCAGAGACTGGGATGGGAGGGTATCACGCAAACAAGAGTTCAGAGCCAGACTGAGACGAGATCTGAAGAAAAGCAGTTGAGGGCAAATTAGAGAGGATGGGGAAGGAAAAAGCATTAGGAGGGGTCTGGGTGTTGCAGCAAACATACCAACTGCAGCTCATTTTCATGGGCTGATGAGTAGCTGATATGTGGGGGGGGGTGTCCCCCTGATTTAAAGGGCAGACATGTGATTGCCGTGGATGGATGTCAGTAATATTGGAACCACGTCTGCCATCCACGCTGTCTCCTAAATTGTCTGGAATGTCACAATGCAGTGAGCTTTAGATAATCTAGGTCGTTTTTAGGCATGAAAACCGGCTCGTGTGTGTGTACTGTAGGTGCTGTAGGTGAGGAGGTGCCGCAGTGTTGCTGACTTTTAAATATTTTTTCAAAAATCCTTTTTTCATTCTTTCCAGAAACTCCTCCTCAGTTAAGAATATTATGAGCCTCTCATTGATTTGAGGATAATACTAAGAGTCTTTCGTGAGTTGTAATGATTTGGGGTTATTTATGCTCCTCCCTCCTGTGTTTCCCCCCATTTCTTCTCATGCACAGAATAGGCATGAGGTGGGCACCCCACGTTCACCCCTGGACAGTCATACCCAAACAGGGACATGTGTATGCATGGGGGCACTACAAGGTGGTGCTCAAAGCAGTATGTTGTCTAGAGATAAAAAAAGTACTTACATGTTTTCAGTTGACAAGAAGTGAATATTTTAACATTTTAAACTGTTTGAATACTTTATTTCATTATAAATTAGTAAATTAAATTTAATAAACATTTTCATTAATTTAATAAAATTAAATTTTAAAAATCTAAATAATTTTTAAAATTTAAATAATTTTTAAAATGTTATTTTTAAAATATAAGACTATTCACTTAAATAGTGTGCCTTTTTCAAAGCTCAAACTTTATTATAGGATGTTACACGTGAGAATGACTTACAGTCACATTCCTGTGATGAGTGAGTGGCTGGGGGCCACCACTAATTTATTTTAGGTTTCGGCCTGAAGGCCTCTGTGTATATGAAAAATTGTCTTCAGCTATCAGATACGTAACCAGAGCATTTGAAGATCCGATACAGTAAATGGGTACAGTTTGAAGATAAGAACAATTTCTCTAGGAAATCAGCACTGATTTTATTTTGCTAACTCCCAACAAAATTCTTCCCAATTGCCATCACCCTGTCTCCAATAAAACACTTCTTGGTTTTAAAGAAATGAAATTTCCAGTTCTAGGGGAAAGAAGAGTTTATTGACAGGAGGAGAATCAAATATTAATAACATATACCTCCTACCTTTAAGGACTCCACAACCCCCTGGACGGGCAGTATTTAAACAGGGCAGTTTAACACCATGTGCTAAGCTCCGTGGAAAAGCAGAGCCCCAGCCTGCGAGAGTGTTTACAAAATGCGTTAAACTCAGCCTTGTGGAGTCAGAGAAACCCTCCTGCTTCCTGCAGTGAAGAGAACACTGAATTTTAAATTAACAGTTGCCAGAAAAATGTAGCCTGAGTCATACTCCCTTAGACTTGATGGAATAGGGCTTAGGCTTATGGACATCAGTCCTTTGGAGTTTGTGTGTGTTTGGGGAGGGAGCGTGTATGTGATCATGTCCACATGGCTTCAGTAAATGTGTACCGTTTACACTAGTTTTTTTCCCCAATAGCATTACCTTTCCTTAGTGACATTAACTAGAACATAGAAATTGACTTCTGTGTATAAAAATATGCATACTGCCCCCTCCCCCATGATTTTTATTTTATTCAGACTGATTTATAGCATTTCATAGGTTATAAAAAAAATTCAGACTTGTTCCTGTCTACTACACTTAAAGTGCTTCATAATTTCTGTTTTATTCTTGGCTCTTTCTACCTCATAGAGTTCAAGAGAAGGTGTTATCCATCTTTTCAGCTGATTACTTTTGAATCAGTTCTTCTCTTCCCTTCGTCATAAATTGTTCCACAGTTTTTTGAAAAAGAGCCCTTACTAGTTTCTGGATGTCAGTAAATGGTACACCCCTGAGCCAGCATCACAGCTTTGGAGCCAGGCTGCCTGCCTTTGAGCCCCAGCTCTCTCCTGCTTTCTAGCTGTGTGATCTTGGGCAAGTTTCTCTACCTCTCTGAGCCTCAGTCTCCCAGGCTGTCAAATGAATCCAGACCACTGCAGAGAGAATGCACATAGACAGCCAGCCAGGGTAAGTGGGTTAAGAAATGTGGATTATTGTTAGTGTATGTGGAAAATATAAATTAAGGAACGCTCTCCCTAACAGTTAATTGAAAAGCTGATCTCGTAGTGTTATAGGCAGGATGTGTGTCTGTATTCTGCTTTCCTGGTATTGTTCGTGATTCACATGTTGAAATCTATTATCAGCATGAGTGCACATTGAAAGCCTCCGGTGTGTGGCTTCATGCTGAGCCACTGTTGAAACAGGTAGATTCAACCACTGCCTGGGGGAGGTTAGACTCAAAGAACTGTTGGCACGTGCCCACATAAAAGAACACACAGACAGGTTCCCATGCTTAATACATTGACGTCAGGGACTAATGAGTATTTTCATTCCACAGAAATTCATTGATCAGCTCTAAGGTCCAGGCTCTGTTCTTGGCCCAGTGATACAGCAGTGAACAAACTCGACCCAGATGAGTGGTGGGGAGGCGACAGTAAACAGATAAGACCTAGATCTGTCGTATGTCAGATGGTGATACTGGCCACAAGGAAAACTTAGCACCCTGATGAGGGTAGACAGTGGTGGGCGTGGGGACAGGAATCGACTGCTAGTTCACATCCGACGGTCAGGAAAGTCGTCTCTGAGCAACAGCGTTTGAGCGGAGCCCGAAGGCAGTGGGCGAGAGAAGCGTGGAGTTAGTGTCCGAGGCTCGGCTCCCGTGCACAGGACACACGAGGCAGGGCTGTGCTTGTTTGTGTCCAGGACTGCGGGAACAAAGCACCACACACGGGACGTGGCTTAAAACAACTGCAATTGATTCTCCTCAGTTCTAGAGGCCAAGAGTCCCAGATCAAGGTGTCAGCAGGGCCAGGCTCCCTCCGAGACTCTCGTAGGATGACTCCTGGCCTCTTCCTGGCTTCCAGTGTGGACCTCAACCCTTGGTGTACCTTGGCTAATCGGTGCATCTCTCTGATTTCTCCCTCTGACATCACATACCTTTCTCCCGACATGTCTCTGTTGCTGTCTCTTCCCCTCTTATAGGACGCCCGCCGTGCTGGATGAGGGCCCACCCGAGTGGGCCTGATGATAATTAGATTATATCGGCAAAGATCCTGTTTGCAAGTAAGCTGACTTTCAGAGATACCTGCGGTTAGGATTTCAGTGTAACTTTGAGGGGCACAATTCAACCCATAATAATGACTAACAAGGAGTGTGGCCAGAACCAAGCAGGGAGAGAGTGAGACCAGAGAGGTGAGTGACAGGGATGGGCTGCATCTGCTGTGCAGGCCAGGGTCCTTGCCTTCAGGGAAGAGAAGTCTGGGGTCTGCTTTTTGGCAGGGTGGTTTGGAAAGGAGCCTGCTTCAAGAAGGAGTACTCAGGGAGATTTTGGAATCTCTTATGTGGTCAAAGGAGAGGGTAGCTGGTGATATGAAGAAACAGGAGAGGCACGAAGGAGACCATCAGTGGATAAATGAAGTGGGCGGGTTGTCCCAGAAAATGCAGCAATGCGCCCCTCTGAGAAGCAGCCAGAAAAGGAAGGGAGGTCAGCTCAGGCCGCCGCTGGTGGTGAGCTGAGTGATGGAGGAAGTGGGATGAAAACGGTGGCTGCTGGATCTGAGGGAAGTGCGGGTAGGTTGTCAGAGGACACAGACGATCTGGAAGGACTGATGTAAAGGAGAAGACTGAGAAACGAGAGACTCTCGGGACGTGGGAGAGGGGAGGGGATCTGACTGGAACCTTCCAGGACGACCCCGTGGAGAAGCGGCCAGGAGCCCAGAGGCAGAGGAGGGAGCGCAAGGAGTCGAAACAGCTGACATCAGGTGCCAGTTAGGTCCCCGTAAAGAAACGGAAGGAAGGCAGGGACCTGAACCAGCAGAGCTGTGAGACCTTGTTTTATTCTGGAGGGTCAGCACATCATACTCAGAGACTGAAATCGTCTTTGCCAGCCATTTATTTAACGCAGGTGCACCGCAGGATCTGTAGTAATTTCACAAGCTAGTAGCATAGAGAGTGATGCCTCTTAATGAACCAA